TGTTCTCTACCAACATGGTCATTTAAGCCAGCCAGCTGATCATACAATTCCTAACTGCAAAGTTCACTCTACAACCTATCAATTCTGTTCAATTAACATAATAAATCTCTTTGAAATTTCTTTGAACTATTGCCAGATAGGAAATAATTTCATTTTATAAGGCGAAGGCAGTTCGTAATCTAGGCACTTCAAGTGTTTAATAATTGTATGACCTTGCTTCCGCAACTTGGTCATATTGGTAGGAAGACGCAGAGTAAGGCACCTTGTCCTGAGTCCAGAGTACGCATCCTACTTACCAGAGTCTGACCGTGGTCGTGACACATTCCCAGACGTTTCGCCGGCACCACACTACAATTCGTCAAACGAAACAAGCGAAGCCGATCATTTGACTAATTATCCGATAAACAATTATTGTATCTCTCCTTATGTCCTGGGCTATTCACCAATTCTCAATCCTCGTATCACCTCTTCATTATCACAATTTCTTACTTGTTCATCTAAACCTATTCATATTCGCCGCTGGTCTCCACATCCCTCCCACTATGCCGGGAACGTTGATCCAAGACTGCGATTTAATCTGCAATCCTATTCCTTTGGGTTCTATCAAAGTCCCCCTCTTGCTTCGTAGCATCCTTCCTGGGTGGAATATGAAGAGGCCTCATGAAATCCACTCAAAAGGGCACACCATACGACATTTAAATAACCAATTATGAAATTGTGATAGTGAAGGAGTGATAGTAGGATATAGGAGAGGTGAATAGCCCAGGACAGGAGTGATATCACAAGTCTTTAGCAGACAATCGATCAAAGTATCGGCTTCACTTGTCTCTTTGACGAGTTGAAGTGTGGTGCTGAGAATGACAAGGCTCACTGACCAAACGTCTGGGAATGTACCACGTTCACGGTCAGACTGTGGAAAGTATCATGTATGTATGAATACTCTGAACTCCGTACAAGGTGTGTTTCTTTACGTCTTCCTACCGATATGACCAAGTTGCGAAAACAAGATCAAAAAACTTCTACGCAACAGAAGGAGACCGCGATCATACAAATGTCCGCATAATCTTGGTCTTCATACCTTCGATCTAAGTGGTTGTTCGCTACAATTGGCGCCAATAATTGTCACCTAGTTAGACATCTTATTTGCTTATATAATGCATCGTTAACGTAAACATGTACTGTATATTACCAAAATTGTTCACTCTTATAACTTAACATTTGCCTTAATTCAAACCAACTATAAACTACAAATTTTGAACTATAAAGTTAGCATCCAGACTTTCACATACCTTACAAGCAAATCTTTAATTCCTATCACTTGCCCATCTACTTGCTTAATAAGGTGATGAAAATTATTCAGTGAATACCACGAGGATTAGAAGATTGGCTTTTATTGGTTATAAATAAATCGTTCCGTTTTATAAAACATACAACTTTTGTAGTTTGAACCCATCCGTTTTGGAAATATGGAGGAGGCTATATGTTTTTAGAGACCTATCATTCTGCAGAGGTAGTGCCTATATTTCCCACATCACCGATTTTCCACTACGTTCATATTCTGCTAAAGGTTGGGTTTACTTAATTCCAGCTGTCCATATGCTCGCTCAATCACATTCATGGATCAACAATTAGCCTTCAGTGTTTATGAAAGTTCTTTAGTTATGAAATGAGATTTGGCTATGGGATTTGGCCTGGTTCCAATTTAAATGAATAGCCATAGCTAGTCTACATTCTAATGTACATCTGGCTCATAACCTCTAATTCAGGCATACGGACGATATCCTTACTATTCGAGCACATGGGCCGAAAATGGGCACTTTTCATTTATAAAATATTGATTGGCTACCTCTCTTGACAATCCTTATTATTGAGGCTTGTATTTGTGAAACCCACCAAAGTGGTTTTCCCGTTTAATTTCTTTTGTTCAACATATTTGTTTTCCGAAAGTATCGGTTATTCAATTATTGATGATACGTGATCTCTGCTTAACGGATGTAAATAACCAGGACCAGCAAGCTTCAAGATTCATAAACATCTACTTTCCCAGGCCAACCTCTAATGCACATTCTAATGAAACCGTTTCAATCAAGATTAGTTAAAGGATATCGTAATAGCTGCTTTGAACGTTGGGTGTATATAATACGAAAGTTGGAGTTGTTTCTAACCATTTTGCACTGGCTTGATTAAAGCTTAAAGTTTATTTTTTGTTTTTAAGTAGGTTTTCGGGACTGCCAGTAAATCAGTAATATAAGATGTATTCACCCCATTCCATTTAAGGTGATGAAGGACTGGTAGCTGAATTTTGCCACAATCTGATGTGTAGAGCTGACGGTTCCATTGAATTTACAAAGCATTGCTTTCTCAAAAGGTATTCTCATCCAAGCAGGAGTGGGCCGCAGTTCCGACCTCGTATAGCTCTTTTCAGTACCCCCAACCGGACTCGAACCATGGCAGTGCATTGCGTAATCTCGACGCTTCAACTACAACGCCACAAGGCAATAAGTGCTCTTGGGCGACAAGGCAGATGTGAATTTTAAGGGAGGCTAGGCAATTTCTTTTACCACCATTCTGTGTTTGGATTGTCGATGAAGCATACTTATCTCTGCTATAACAATCGACTGTATTATTTATGTTTAGTTTTTAAGTATGCTTTCGAGACTACCAGTAAATCAGTTATGTGAGATTTATGTAAAATTCTGTGAGGGTCAGCTCTGCTCATATGATTGCGGCAAATTTCAACTACTTATTATTCATTACCTTAAACGAAATGAGGTGAATGAATCTCATGTTAAATTTATGCCGATGGTTGAGAAGGATGGGCCATCACAATTACCAAACGTTAGAGTAATTTAAAATAAAGATACTTTTAAGCAAAAGTCGTCAGAATAAAATTAATAATTAGTTTTTACCAATTATTTATATTCAATGTATACACACATTATAGAATGAATACTAAGGCGGTCAGATAAATGAGAGCAAAGTGTTAATGCTTTAGACAGCCTAGGTCGTTTAAACTGAGTTAAGAGCCGATAGATGAATTTCCTACAATGAGATAAGTAAAAGTTATCCTCATAAGTCGAAGTGCCGGTACAGGCAGGCACTAGCCGCAAAAGCATTATAATCGTGAATCCGAATAGATTGGCAAGTGTCTGAATAAAAAGTGAAACTGTCTATGCAAGAACGGCGGAGAATATGAATAGAAATTCTTAATTTAAATAGTTTCCAAAACAATCAGTAAGTCTGGAATGGGGACTTAGCTTAATTTTCGTAAGGTTATTTAAAGATATTTAAATTGAGTCACCTTTGAGTTTTCCCCCATTCAGACTAATAGGCCTTACAGCTCATCTGATTGTGGAAAACTCAGCTTTCAGCCCTTAAATCACCTTAAGCCAATGGTTCCCAAACTTTTCCTAGTCGCGGCGCCCTTTTTTAATTAAATTTTTTCCATGGCGCCCTACCCTAAGTATGACTATTCGTAAGAGATAAAAATGAATAAAACTCGTGTACCTTCATTATTTTTTTACTTTATTAACATTT